ATGGCGTTCGAATCAGTTTCTTTTTTGAAATGAAGTATTATGTTTCGCGCGTAAAACAATTGTTTTATTTTCATATTTTTTGTTATAAAATATTTAGTTTTTGTTTTCTTTTATTCAATCAATGGATAAATAAGACAAGCAATCGATGTTCTATTTCATGTTCTAGATAAATTATTTATTTTTCAATTTTGTTCTTATGTTTCTTTGGATATAAAAGAATGAACTTTCATATATTTTATGATTTGAAAAATGGCATAATAATTTTATTTATAATAGATAATTATGAATTACGTTCACAATTCGTGCTTTTATATTCATTAACGTTAACGAAATAAATAACAAAATAAGGTAAAATATTTATTATAATTCTCTATCCTTATGAATAATATTGCAAAATAATCAAATATATATATTCATTTAGCAATTAAATTTTTTAATTTTTATTATAATTTTGATAGATTTTTGTGAATTTCGATTGATTTGCTTATGATTTTATTGTTTAAACTTTTAAAATATATATTAAGTTTTATTCTTTCTCACTTACACGTTAATTAACCTAGAAATAAAAAAACATCTGCAAAGATTAATAAATACAATTCTTCGTATATACCAAATTTCCGCATTTTAATTAATTAAATTCTAATCCGATTCATTGAACAAATATTAACAGTGATATGAACATAATAATATTAACATAAATACGTATTAATTTTCCGATAACATATCACCCCTTCAATTTCTAACCATTTTAAATAGAATAAACTATTAAATAGAATCATTTTATACGGTTTCATTTATAGAATTATAGGAACAAATTAACGCTTTATTTCAATTATATTGTTCGTTTACGAGAAAATTAGTATTAATCGTAATTCTTAAACTCTAAATAGGAAACAATTGAATTAGTTTGGTTAGTTAGGGTATATAATTAATACTATATTAAAATTTCTACTCAAACATTCATTTTTCTCCCAATCCAATCACTTCCTTTTTAATTCCTCTTATTGCACGCACAAACAATCAAACAATTCCCCCTATCAAAATATACAATCGTCGTACAATAATCGCCAATAATCCACCTCCGATTATAACAAGACACGTAACACCTCATGAAAGTTCGAATCTCGCGATATAATACGATTGATGTATCGTCATTCCATCGAACATCAACCTCGATCAGGTATCACTATTCGACTACAGGTGCACGTACCGCTCGGGGAAGGAGGGCGCGAAGGGATAACTCGGCCGTTTCGCGTTAGAACGTCGTGCCCGTAGGTTGGTATTGGTTGGTATCGGTGCGACACAGGGGCCAAGGGGTTCCAAGGGGGTTGATGCGTCGGCGTGTTGCGCCGTAGCTTTTGCCGCGGCGCCCGGCAGTCCGTAGGCGAAGTCCTAACGAGTAGCCGGCGAGCGAGCCGTATCGCGGAAAAACTTGCTCGCAATTAGATCGTGCCGAGATTTCCGTGCCCGTTCTTCGTGTAATCGGTTCCACGATCCGCGTCGTTTTCTTTTCTAATCCGTGTTTTCGTCCGCGTCTACACTATTCGTCGTATCTTTTTTTTTTTAAAAATCGGTCGATCCTCGATAAGTTTCGAAACTTGAGATTAAAAAAAAGATTGTATGCAGTGAGTATCTGTAATCGTAGATGTGTCGTGAGCAGTGTTTCCGGGCACAAACACGAGGTAGTTTCCCGGGGGGAAGGAAATCTCGATTTCGGGTGACATGTGACGAGTTGTCGATCGTGCACGAGCGATAAAAGGCCTCGTGATCAAATCTTCCGCGTTTACTTTATCCGCTGGATTCTCGACCGACCCGTGAAAACTCGATGGGATGTATCAGTGAGGAACGAAAGTAGGTGTTTTTTGTGATTCGGGGAATAATGTGCGGAAGCCTCGTAACATTATCACGATTCCAGTGTTTATAGATACCAGTGAACGATTCGAGGATACCCGTATATATCCGTGTAAGTCGAATCGGTTTAAAACGATGTACGAGTATAGCAAAGTATAATTAATATTCTCCGACCGAGAAAAAGGGGAAGAGAAAAAAATACGGGAAAAATAACTCTCTTTAGTTAAGCCATCTTCAAACAACTTTCTTCGAAGAAACGTCAGTCGCTTTCATGAGTATTCTCCGATCGTTCGAACTTGTCTCATTATCCCTCTCTTTGGACTTTTCCTTAAATGGAATCGATGGAATTCGAATCCTCTTTCTCTACCCTCTTATCGTCTTCTCCACCGATCTTATGATCGTTGATAGCGTAACTATGTCCCTTCTCATCGTGGATTCGACTTGATTCCGCGGAAACGATGTTGCTGCGCTCGGTTAATCGAGAACGATTATAAACTTTACCGGTCGCCGCAAAAGTGGGACACACACATACACACACTCAATTCGCTCGATTCGAGGTTCGAGGAAGGCAAAATAGGGGATGAAAAAAAGCAGAATGGGGTAACCGAGGGGGAAAAATAGAGGGGTAAGAGTGCGATAGGGGGTCTATGGGAGAGAGATAGAGAACGGAACCGGAAAAGCGGGAAACACTGAACAATACCAATTGCGACAAATTACACGTTGCTTTATCCGGTGACGCTGGCTCGCGATTAAAAGGGAAGAGGGGAGGAACGTTGCATCGAATACTGTGAACACGCGTGATTCACCCCATTTTCTATTTCTTTCCATTTTTCTTGCTCCCTTTATTCTCTTTTTTTTTTATCCCATCTTTTATGCGTCCTTTTTGTGTCATTCTTTTTGTTTCTCTTTTTTTTTCTTTTTTATTTTTTTTATATCTTCATTCGCGATTTCTTTTTGTGGAATGAAAGAAAGAAGAAAATTGTCGAGTGAACGTCATCAACTTATTGTAGAAATTATTGAAGCTTTTCTCATGGAAATTTAATTAATGTTTCTTTCTTCTTTTTTTTTTTCGTTTTCGTTTGTGAAATTAGATCGAAATTGGACCGAACGAAACTTAAATTTTTAATTAAACATTGTTTTATATTTATTTAGAAATTTTAGAATATTTTGGTTAAAGTTATTGCGTTGGATTTAGGTAACGAAAGGTTTCATATGTTTGATAATATAGAAATTAAAATAATTATATATGTTAATGAAGAATCGATTGAATTTCATTTTCTCGAATTTGCATCTTGGAATCAAACATTCGTGTAATTTATATCTCAAATGCATTTATATTTTAAGAGAATATTTTATGAACTTCTTCTTTTACAAATATTCTTACAAATTTCTTTTATCATTTTTTTAGAATTAGAATTCGATTTCTGCATCTATTTCAGTTCAAAGATAAAACTTTTCTCATATTTTCTTGTTTTTTCTTGATAAAAATATTTTCGAATGAAATTCTAATTTTTTTACGTATCGATTCTTTTGAAAGATATCGCTTCTATCAAAAAATATCCAGAATATGATAGCTACAGATTGTAAATTTTAATTTCGTTTCTATATTTCATGCTTTCATTTTTCAAGATTTTATTTGCAAAAATTTTGAATGAGAAATTTTATTTGAATTTTCGCTTTTCAGTTTTGGACGATTTAATTCGCAGTGTATTCGGTTGATTCGCAATGCGATGTCGTTTCCAGTGTTAGGGAGATCGTGTCGACACGTGTGCGTACGTTTAGTCGTGCTTGTAATCCGACAACGAAACCGGAGTTTCACGAAATTTATATGATCCGAGGAAGATTTCACTTAATCTCATGGTATTTCGAGGTTGTTTTGACGTAGTGTACAGTATTCTAAATCTCTGTAAAATAGCATCGAACATCGATCGATTTATCTACTTTCACAACATTTTAAATTACGTATATTTAATTTCAAGTTTCATATTAATTTTTAATTTTTAAATACACCGATGTATCGATAAATTAATTGCAAAAGGAAAGAATTAAATTCGACGTGGAAACATAAGAAAGTTTTTATTCCGTTAAAATAGACTTTTAATATTTTTCATCAAAACATAAGACTGTTATTTGCAAATTCTTGGAAATTCGTAGAAAAACTTTTTTATTTACTTTCTCAGAATTGATGTTATTTTTGATAACAATTGAAAGCTTCTTCTAAATGATATGGTTACACTTTATTCTTATCCTTGTTAGAATGAAAAAAATCATCTTGATATATTGTTTTTTTACATTTCTTTGTATTTCTTTTTCTTTCCAATTTTTCATTGCTAAAATTGAATCAAAAATGAACATTAAAATCTATCAATATATTATAATTATTCTATTATTTCGTTCGATTTAAATACATACGGTGACCCAAAATATTTGATTCGAAAGCTCAACATAAAAATATGTTAAAATTAAATTCTGGAAACTAAAAATCCTAATCATACACGATTCTAAATTACAAAATTTACTTCATATTCCCGTATAAACATACGTATTCAGAACACGAAAAAAACTTTCAGATCGGATTTTCTCTCCAAAAAAATAATATTCCCAAACTTTCATCAAATCTTTCGTAAAGATAAGATGTTCGAGCAAATACTTCTTACTTAACCACTTCTATACACACTTTTACATAACAACGACTCTAAAATCGTGCTCTAAATCGATTCGATGATAAAAATAAACAAAACGATTTCTTCTTCTTAAATCGACCAACATACATTGATCTCATAACGTGACAAGCGAACGCTGTCCCTCCCACCCCTATCGAGAGGGGTACAACAACAAAATAGTAAATCGCCGGCAACGGATGGACTAACAAATCCAATCGCGGCCGGCGCGATAATTCACGATTCGAGTTAAAGCTGGTGGCCAAGTGGTTCAGGAACGTGATGTTTCCAGGTGTCGTCATCGCGTCATCGTGGTGGGGCTTAACGAGGCGCAGTTAACGTCGGCCCGTCGTTAGGTAACGCGAGTGGACGCTCCTCGTCCCTCCAAATCCTCGAAATTGCCGCCACGATTGCTGGAACGATTGTTGGATGGTGTAGTGAGAAACACG